CTGCCATCTCGACTATCCTATAAATTAGCTGCTCTGCAACTCCGAGATTTATTTCTGGAGAATGTTCTTCGCGGGACTAATTTAAGAATGTGGACCAATGGTTAACTAACATTCATTTACAACAAATACAAAAATAAATAAAATAACAAATTGTTTTTACATTAATAAAATATTACAAATTAAAATTAATGAAATATAACAAATTAAAATTAAATAAATCAAATTAACTTTTAAAAATATTTTATTTATGTTTTAAATTTTACAACAATTTTACTTGAACTAACAATAATTGAACAGCAATTATGGAATTGTTTTATCATGATCTTTAGTCTTAATATGAATGGGTCCATCTAGATCCATATTATACTCATTGAGCAAGGTGATCATAGCGTATACACGCTGTACCGACATGTCGTGCCAGAAGGTGTGGTGTTCAATATTGATGGGTTCCCTGGGATTGTCGAAGTCGTCTAAACGCATGTTCAGAAAAGAGCGGATCCAATACTGTTCTGTGGCCGCACTCTTAACGCCTCCCTTCTCCTTATCCCACGTGCGGTTAAATATAGCGCCCAATGAGTCGCCGTCATCGTTGTTACCATGCTCAATTATGCAGTCATATATCGCACACTTGCCCATTGCTGTCTTAATGCCCGCCCTTTCCGCGTATTTTATTGCCGGACTGTAACATATTATGTGTATAATTAATACTGTATTTTAAGCATTTAGTTTAGTATTCTCAATGGATGATAGAATCACTATGTTGTTAAATGTGAATTATATATTTTTATATAATTTTTTTGGGTTTGCAAAATAAACGACTGTAGAAAAATTTCATAATTATTTTCTTGTTATATAAATTAATAAATAATTAAATTCATTGAGTTTATGATATGTTAACAATATATAACATATTTTTATAATGTTAATTGATTATTTAATGATGATGAAAATTAAAAAACTGTAAAAAAGTTTTACCTAATATGCACATGTATTTAACATGAACTATTGTTCAAATAATTGGAAATCTTATCAATTCATAACAGTTAAAATATTTCTATATTTATATAAATCATATTTTAATGTTTTAATTATTAAAATTTTTCTAATAAATTATATAAAAATAAGGGTAAAATTTTGACATTTTTTTTTATAAAATCTTAAAGTAAAATTTAAATTTATATTTTCAATAAATAAAAATGTGCATAATTGATAAATTAAACCATAACTTGTTCATAGTTAAATAATGATTTGTTTAATTTATCTATCTGTGCTTATTAAAACTAATCACTATGTATTGTAAAATAAATATCATAATAATAACTTTATATAATTAATTATAACATCAAACTACTTACTAGTAAGACATACCGGCGCTGACCTCGTCCTGAGTGTCTCTAAACAACTGGTCCTTTGCGGCCGTTTTCCACGCCTCGGGATAACCGCCCAAACCTGACGTATCGTTACTGAACTCACGGGCGAGTCGTTCCAACTCAGGCAGGAATGGGGCCAAAGGGTTGGCCGGCTTTTTGGCCGTATATTTCTTAATCAGATCGTAGGCATCGCCCGTACAGGTAGTGAAGCCAAACTTACCGCACGTATAGCCCCGGCCGTCGTGAACATCCATCACAAACGCGTATTGGATTTCAATGGTGTCGTTCTCGAAGATACTGATGAACTGTTCGCACCGTAGCCTCTGTTTAGGTGTCATCAGCTCTGCCTCTACCAGGAGTATAGACCCAACCATCAGGAATATCACCGATAACTTCATGGTTGTATTTCACTCTACTTTTAATTGATCAAGTAGAAATAAATATGTTGTATGTGTTTTGTGCATGTTTATATACTTTTGTATTTTTATTTGCGTAATCGTATGGGTTATCAGAAGTTATATCTGAACATTTGTTATTTTGTTAATATTCTCTCATTGATAAATTTTTAATCATATTCATGTTATTATTTGCTTATATTAATGCATTTAAAGACTTATTTTGTTACATAATGTATTATAAACGTAAAATTAATAAATTATTGCATTAATACTAGCAGAAATTTCTAATTAATTAAGAGTTGATAATTAAATATTGATCAAATACGTATTTTATTATTTTCTATAAATCATTTTAATTATTTATTAATTTTTTAAATAGGAGGAAATAATTTTTTATTATAAAGATCATAAAATATTATGTTATTATTAAACATTAAAAAATAATAGTCGTGAGTACTACCAACAAATAACATAAAACATTAGTACAATTGCATAAGTATTATTTTTATATTATATTACAGTTAGCAAATAGTAAATAAATTATTTTGCAAAATTATTCATTGTTAATATCCTGAATGTAATCATGTTGTATTAAATAAACATAATATAATTAAAACTATAATTTTTTTAATTTTAATTAAATAATCATGTTTATCAGTTAATTGCACTTTTAAACACACTTCAGATATGAATAATGTGGTTTTTTAAATTGTTCGGGCCCCCTTTCCGTCCCCCGCTCTATGGGATTTAACATGGGATTACAACTTAATCTACTATACTTTACCATGGGGATCTTGAGTCTATGGGACTAATGCTATTATTATGGACAATGTTAAGTCTATGGCAATTGATTATTTCTTGTTGCTGACCAACAAAGTGCCTATCTATACAGTCTATGCTTTTCTATTATAAATACTTACAAATTGTCTCAAATCTATTATTTAAAAATAATATACAGTATAATCCTAATCACTATTGAAGCCAGTTATTATTGGTATTTTTTATTTTGTGCAAAACAATATAACGTGTTAACATTTTTTGCACTTCACAGCACTTTATTTTACTGAATACATGAACTCAAATAAATAAAGGATAATTGTCTAAAGTACACATGCACGTGAAATAAATACCCTAATTTTAAGATATAAGCATGTGTTTTACAAAACATCAAATTTTTAACATTATAATTATTTGATTTGTTAATACGATTCAGGGTAAATGCACTAATTATTAGGGTAAATTAAAACAAAATACCTGTATGACTTTACACGTGATTGTTTTAATTAAGCAATTATTGATCATTATTTTAACAAATATTTATATGAGCAAGGGCATATAATGAGTACATTAAGGTCATGTGCACACCCAATGGGCACACCTCCCGAGCGCAGCATCTCATTGGCTGATTGCCACTAATCATATTTCGGTACATTAGGTATAGTTATAAAAGATTCAATGATATTACAGTTCATAACTGATTTGATAAACAAAACTAATTAACTTTTTAACAATTAAACCGGAATTACAGATATTAATCACACATTTAATAATTACTTTATGGGTATAAATACTTGTACCACATTTTGTACACAATTCAAGCAAACAGTAACAATTTAATAATTGACATGATGCTTTTAATAGTATTACCACTTGTACTGCTAATATGTCAACCAATATGTATGACTACATTGGACAGGGAGGACCCGGTGCTTAGTCAAAGCTGGCCCAATCACGACATATCTACCCTGAAACTATTGCAAGTGGTGCACCGACACGGGGAGCGGGCCATCGAGACACTGTTCCCCAACGATCCGTACCGTAACGAAACCGAGTACTGGCCGGAAGGCACCGGCGAACTCACCCTACGGGGCAAATACCGTATGTACCGTTTGGGTCAATACCTGCGCCGTCACTACCACTCATACCTGGGCTCCGACTATAGCCCGCGTGAAGTCTACGCCCGGAGTTCGGCCCAAAGCCGGTGCCTCGAATCGGTGCAGATGATAGGGTCGGGCGCCTATTCGGTCAGCCGTCAGCCGCGGTGGCAGTGGTCTAACGGTGTGAGTCCCCTATTGGGCCATTTATGGCAGCCGTTTCCGGTCTACACCTATCCATTAGAGTTGATTAACAATGATATGTTGCTGAGACCGGTAACCAACTGTCCCCGAGCTCAACACCTGGAGCGCCTGTTCCGGGAGTCGGCAGGTGTCCGAAGTCAACTCAACCAGAATCGGGAGTTTTTAGACTACTTGGGCAGCAAAGTAGGCATAGAGTTATATAACCTGGATGCTATCCTCGCCCTTTACGATACACTATGGGTAGAGTATCAACGGGGCTATCGCTGGTCGGCTCACGGCGTATGGCCCCCGGAGGCAAACCAACAGATATTGGACCGCTTGTTCCCACTAAATATGTATTTATGGGACAACAAGTGGTCAAACCCAGAGCTCCTTAGGCTGAAGGCCGGCCCTCTGGTCGGCGAACTGGCGGACAATATGCAGTACAAAATGAATGGCACTTCGCGTACAAAATACACGCATAAACTGTATCTGTACTCAACCCACGACATGATTGTGGCCCCAATTATGCACGCATTGGGCGTATGGAACGGCCGTTTGGTTCCCTACGGGGCCTCACTGTTGGTGGAGTTGCATCAAAAGCTAGTGCCAGATACAGGTGCTCTAAATCAAGCTGATTATGGTAATGATGGTTATTTTGTACGCATGTATTACTTTAATGAGACTATGGACGCGACTAAACCGCCGCACCCGTTATCACTGCCCCAATGCGATGGCCTAACCGACTGTCCGATCAATAAATTTTTTGCTTTTACTAAAAACTTAATACGGGATGACTGGGAACGAGAGTGTGTGCTGAGTAAATAAGTAATATCATAAATATTGCTCAATTAAACATACAGTATATTTTGCATAACTATCCAAACCAATTATCCCTATACAGTCTCTAATAGGGACTCCCTATCATTATAAACTTATTTTTAAAATAATTTTACACATCTATTAATGTTATTACATAGACTATAACTATTAATTATTTTATAACAAAATTTATTGAACATGTTCTATAAAATATTAATATAATATGAGCACTTATAATTAAGTTTATAAACTTTACATTTTGCTCAAACATGTATAATTATGTATAATCTATAAAACTATTAAACGAATGACGCAAATAAAACAAATACATTGTAGGATTTAATCGGAAAACACATAAAAATTATTATTAAAAATTTTATGAATGTCATTTACAATTAGTTCATAGCTCTTTCCACTGTAATATACATGTAAAATAATTTAAAAAATTGATTAGATCTTCTAGGCAATTTGTAAGATAAGGCAATCAGTAATTTACGGTATACAATTAAAGGTATAAATACTACACCAATTATTAAACCACAATCAAACAGTTATTGTTCATATAGCAATACAAAAAACTACTATTAAAAAATGACCTCAACAGTTTTACCAATCTTACTGCTATTATGTATGCTTCAGACATGTATGGCCACAATGAACAGTGTCAATCCAGTGACAAGCGACTGGCCCGATCACGACATATCTACCCTGAAACTATTGCAAGTGGTGCACCGACACGGAGAACGGGCCATCGAGTTCGTGATGTCCAACGATCCGTACCGTAACGAAACCGAGTACTGGCCGGAAGGGTACGGCGAACTCACCCTACAGGGCAAGTACTATATGCACCACTTGGGTCAATACGTGCGCAGTCACTACCACTCATACCTGGGCTTCCATTACGACACTCGCGAAGTTTACACCAGGAGTTCGGCGCAGAGCCGGTGCATCGATTCGGTGCTGATGATGGGCTCCGGCGCCTATCCGGCCAACGGTCAGCCGCAGTGGCAGTGGTCTAACGGCACACCCCTATTGGGCCAGATATGGCAGCCCTTTCCCGTATACACCTACCCCTTGGAGTTGATGGAAAGCGATAGACTGCTGAGACCACTGGCCAACTGTCCCCGCGCTAAACAACTTGAGAGTATGTTTCAGGAGTCACCTGCCGTTCGGCGTCTACTGCACCAAAACCGTAAGTTTTTGGACTACTTGGGCGCCAAAGTTAGCGTAAAACTAGATAATCTGTATATAACACTCGCCCTATACGATACACTATGGGTGGAGTATCAACGGGGGTACAAGTGGTCGGCTAAGGGTTTCTGGCCCCCGGAGGCCGACCACAAGATACTCAACAAACTGCTTCCCCTCTATATGTATGTGTTTGACAAGCAGTGGTCAAACAATGCGGAGCTGCAGAGACTGAGGGCCGGTCCAATGGTCGGTGAATTGACGGATAATATGCGGTTCAAAATGAACGGCACTTTGCGTTTTAAATATGACCATAAGGTTATGCTGTACTCAACCCATGACATGAATTTGGCCCAAATTATGAACGCATTGGGCGTTTGGAATAGCCGTAAGGTTCCCTACGGGGCCTCACTGTTGGTGGAGTTGCATCAAACACCCCAACTCGATCTGGCTGATAATGGTAATGATGGTTATTTTGTACGCATGTATTACTTTAATGCCACACTGGATAAGCCTTCTCCGCCCCATAGGCTATCACTGCCCCAATGCGATGGTCTGACCGACTGTCCAGTGGACAAGTTTTTTGCCGCTACTAAAGAGCTCATACCCGTTGACTGGGAACAGGAGTGTGTGCTGAGTGTATAATTTATTAAGATTAAGATTCAACAATAAAGTTACCTCTTTAAATAATGAAAGAATTGTTATTATTAATTAATATAATTATTTTAACTAACACTCGTGTTATTTCTACACAAATTAAATATAAGTAATGTTATCAATCATTATAAACTAATTTTTAATAATTTTAAAAATCTATTAATGTTATTAAATTTTTACTACAATAATAATTTGAATAATAATTACAATTTGTATAATCATTGATATTGCCCTTTAATTGATTTTTCGTTATCTGTCACAATTAAATGAATTTATCTTTGAAAAAATGATATCTTATTTTTATCAGTA